ATCAATGCACCTTACTAATTAAAGTAAAATAAATTTAAGAAAATATTGCATCACACCGAGGGTGTAGGGGGGTCACACTCAATCACTAATAATAATCACTGTCACAAGTCAAACGTACCTGATAGAGGAGCAGCAGTCGTGGGCGGGCCGGAGAAGTAGAATAGAAGTAGAGAGAGATCACTGCACAGCACATGGAGGGGGAGACAGAGAGAAAACGGTTACTTACAAAAACTAAACACGTTTTTTAAGGAAACAAATAATATTTAATCAAAAAACGAGAAAAGTGTAGCGCGAGATCCCAACGGGGGATACGAGAGCAACCGCGGTAATTTTCACTCCCAGACACAGTGACACAGAACACAGCACGTACCTTCAAGTCCGTAGCAATGAGCAGAGAGGGAGCAGCGCCGATGGGTAGCACACACACACGCACACACTAGGCTGGGCTGAGGTGAAGTGACGTGCAGTCCAAAGTGGAGGCAGGTTTATATGAGGGCGAGCCCCCTCCCCTTCTCACCTGGAGTGTGCGGCCCCTCCCCTCTCACCTGCGTTGGGAGCGAGCGGCTCGCACTGAGCCCCGCCGCCGCCGCTGAGCGACAGCGTGGGGCTGCCACGTGGAAGCAGGTGCGCGTGGACACCGGCGTGCGGGAAGGGAATGACACGTGGGGACACATGTTTGCACGTGGAAAGATCTCAGAGTGGGGCTATGGAAGTGAGAATTAGAAGTGAAAAGAGAGTTGAACAGCGAGAGGAGTACGCGGTCATTCTTAATTCTAGTATTTTTAAATAAGTTAACAAAGTGAAGTGGGTTTAAACCTAGACAACGCTTAATCAAAAATGTACAGCAGTATTCTCCACAAACATCAGATGAGGAGGCTTGAATTAATCTATGATTATACCATTCTAATCCCCCATTCCGTGGAATAAATCGAGTAAAATAAGGGTTGATTGGGGCACCGCCCAATGAGTCAAAATACTCTACGCCGTGAGAGAAGGGGGGGAGGTAAAAGCAAGTCCAATGAGTACGGCTCAGGTGATAGGGGTCCGAGTTAACGATAACGCAGGCCGGTCTGCGCGAAATGGATGTTGGCAGGCAGTCGGCTGGGTACACTCCCGAGAAATGGGGACGGAGTATGGGGGACGCCTCACACGCAGCGCGCAGTTCAATGGAATTCATGCTATGCTACATTTAAGAGATGAAGACATTACGGGCATTTGAAATTTCCATGACCGAGTCGAACTCTAAAAGACATAAAACTGTGAGAGCGGATTCTAAATTATTAGCAAAGGTCAACTCCAAACGCAAAGTACCCGAGGCGGGGAGGGCCACATGGGTCGTATTCCCACTAAAGTCCGGCGTTAAGTCACGCACCAAAATAAAACTCCCGTTTTGGAACATTTCGGGGGTTATCAAATTTGAGGCGCCCCGACGGTCCAAATTAAAAGTAGAGAACAGTTGGTGGTAGCACCTCTGAAAGCATACATTTTTAGTGTGAAAGTCCACCAGGGGGAACTCAATTCTATCAGAATTTGAAAACAAAATGGCTGACGTTAGAGATTTGTGAAGAAAAGAGTAGGTATTATGTTCTCGTGACCCATTAAAGTGTTGGTTATCAAGCAAAATACAAGCAAAAAAACTAGGCATTTTTCCCATGCAGATAGAGTTGAGATTTACGGAGCGAGTCCCGCCCGCGACCGTGAATGTGCGCAAATCCACATTCTTTAGAGGATATAAAGCATTATTTTGTGCAAGGGTCTTCGCGTGTGCAAGCAGAACACCTGGGTTTAACATCACTTGTTTTATGTACAAAGCGGCCTCTAAAATCTGAAGAGTGTCAGTGTTCTCCGCCTCGGACCACATGTAAAAGTCCTCTGAGTGAAGAGTGAGACGTACTTTTAAGTCTACTCCACTCGGAATAAGCTGACGAAGCCCTGTTAAACCACAATACAGCGGCCCAAAAAATTCATTATTTTTACCGCCAGCAAAGAGACTTTGGCGCTTCGTCCAGCCCCAGTTCGCAGCGCCCGCGACATCATTGGCGCTTGGCGTATCCTTGTAGAAGCCCTGAGTGGTCAAATGAGTAGTGGCCGCCTCGGGGGAGTTGTTAAAATAAGTGTACAGCAAGGCATAATACCCATAATTGTCAATCTGCACAATACAGCGCTCATTCAAGTGAATTTCCACGCGAGCAAAGAGGCTGTGAAGTATATTGTTGACGACGGAGCACTTGACATCCGTACCCCCCGTCTCATCTCGCGCGCACACCTTTAGGCCTAGATACAAGTAACTCAAGTCACGTAGCAAATCGGCCGAGCCGGGGCTGTGAAACTCGATGTAACTTAGTGGTCTACTGAGCACATTCACAGGGTAGAGAGTTTGTAATATACTTCCTGTAATTGCATCTTGTTGGAGTCCTGGGCTGAAGCAATTCAACTCGGAGGGAACTACTAGTTGATGAGTTGCCATTTTAAGAGAAAATGTCGGGGGGTGTGTCGCTGGGGGGTGTCCTCTCGCGGCGAGCGCCTCTCCCTGTCTGAGGGCGCTTCCGTTTGGGAGCGGCTTTTATCTTGGCACGAGTGCGGGGGCGTGCAGGGGCTTTGCGTTTCTTTTTAGTAGAAGTAGTTTTCTTTTTCGTAACAGACGTCTTAGCCCGCTTGGTGCGCGAGCCCCCGCCGCGCAGCACGGTCCGAGCGCGGCGCTTCAGGTTGGTTCCGGCGGTGCGCAAGCGCTGCACCGTAGCGCGAGCGGCCGACCGTAGTGTGGGGTTCTCATTAATATCTCCGTACAAACCCACCCCCATGCGGAGCGCCTCCTCCGAGACGGCTCTCAGACCTTTGGCGATGAGGGGTGAGGCCGCAGCGGTGAGAACGCGGCCGAGCCCACAGCACCCGACTCCCCTGCCTCGTTGGGGGCCGTGGTACGAGGCCTTGTACACAGGGCCGATAACATCCGCGGCAGATCGCCCACCCCCCGCTTGGGCGCGGAAGACCCTTTCGTAGAAACCTTCCATCACCGACTGAGTGGGGGTAGGGGTAACAAGTCTTATATATATTAGGATGTAGAGCGAAAGTGAAGGATGGCGATAGCGGGAAAGTCCGATGCGCTAAAGGGAAACCTCTCGCCGGTGCGTGTTCGAGAAGAGATTGTTATAGATGAAAAATTATGTCTCTCCACGGGGCTGTAATAAATGTGGGGGAAAAGGAAATGACCAGCAGGGGTGGCAGGGCTACAAACTCTGAGGAGTTTCGAGCAGGTATCCCCCACGATAACTGGGCCACAGATGTCGGAATAAACAAAAATCGGATTCTTATAGTAATCCATTTCCGGTGGGAAGAACACTTCCGCCAGCCCCACCTCAAAATCTCGCCCGGGTGGGCAGATGGGGTGTGGCAGCTGAGTGCGGAAGTGAGCGATAGTGTTGTCGCTAAAGAAGTTCTTAGAGCTGTCACTGCAGAGAGTAACGAAAAAGTCCACCCGATTCATGATTGATTCTTTAAAATCTCAGTCTCGGGTTCCCAGGTGTTAAAACTATCGTCGTAATCCTGCCATTTGCAGAGAACCTCCCATCCGCCGCCCTTGCGTCGCCGACGTCGCTGTAGAATGGCCTCGACACGAAAGTGAGTGGGTGGGGGTACCTTTAAAATCTCCTGCCTGTAAAAATACCCCTTAAGTACTCTGTGATTCAAATCCTCGATGGAGTACATGGGGAAGGGGGTCAGGGGCACCACCCTAACTATACGGTAAATCTGTTGTGACCAGCGATTCCAAAAGCCCTTTTCCATCATAGTCTTTACTAGAGAAATGCGACAAAAATCCCCCACTTTCAAGGGGGCACCCCGTGCGGGCGCGGGGCGCCCCAGCCTGGCGACTGTAGAGCGGGGCCGTGCGCGCTGTCGCGCATGTCGCAGGTACAGTCTCGACCAGATGTCGAACACGTGAGCTGGAGTAACATCACACGGGCGCATGCCAGTCGCGCTATGAACGGAGTGGTTGTAGGTGTAAACTATCTGCTCTAAAAAATCTACCCATCGATTGGTGTTTTTAAGCCACATGTGGCGCCAGAGGCGAGACTTTAAGGTTTGAATGACTCTTTCCGCAAAGCGCGCGTGGCCAGCGTTTTCAATCGAGCGGAAGCGTACGCCGTACTTGTCGAAAACGTTCTGTACCAAGGCGGAGGAGTACTCGGTCCCGTGATCCGCCTGCAAGAGAGAGGGTGCTCGCGAGGTGGACTCAAACAAGTGTGTAAACACCTGAGCCATTTCCCGACTCGTTTTAGTGCGAGTCTTGTACACGAACACCTCACGAGAGAGGCAGTCTATGACGACGACAAAATACTTGTACGAATCGTTGTCGGCGGCGTACTTGGCCAGGTCGAGACTCGTGTCTGTCTCCCAGAGCATGTCCAACCCCCTTATTGAGTAGTGATTAAGTGGGAAAGTCTTTCGGGCTGGTCGGAAGAGAGAGTAGGCATCCTGAGCTCTGAGCCAGGTCACCACCTCCGCGCGAGAAATGCCGAGAGGGGCGGCGTACTTTGACAGGGTGTCGATGGATCCGTAGCTGGCTGGGTGCGACAAGTCGGTGTAAACCGAGCCTAGTTGTTTCGCGATAAAATCCTCCCTCGAGAGGGTTTCGGAGGGGCCCGGCGCGGCGGGCTCGAGTTGGCGGCGGCGGCGGCGTGGTCTATCCTCAGGTGTGCGGCGAGCAGGTGCCCGGGCCGTTTCCACATCCGAGTCAGCGAAAGCAAGGGTGTTTGGAGGGCGAACGCGCCCGCTGCGGCGCGGCACAGAGGAATATCCCCGGAACTGAGCTGGCATATTTCTATTGAAAGGGGCGAAGGGGACAGTCGTATGAGGCTTAAGAATGCGGAAGCTTTCGGCCGACAAGGGGCAGAATGTCGAATCACCTGATTCTACGTGGCGCG